GGGGCCTGGGGTCCCTTATGGTGGCCCCAGTGGCACCCATGTGGCTCCAGTGACACCCATTATGGTGCTGGTGACACCTGTGGTGGCCCCGGTGACACTTGCAGTGGCCCTGGGGACACACACGGAGGTCTGGGGATACCCACGGTGGCCCCAGTGGCACCCACGGTGGCCCCGGTGATACCCATGGTGGCCCTGGTGACACCCGCAGTGGTCCTGGGGACACACATGGAGGCCTGTGGATTTTGACCCGGGTTTGGTGGATTTTGATTTAAAATTGGCAAATTTGGGGCCAGACTCTGTGGATTTGGGGCTGGAGTTGGCAGATTTTGACCCAGAACTGCTGAATCTGGGGCTGGAAGCAGCAGATTTGGGGCTGGAGCCAGTGGATTTGGGTCCAGAACTGCTGAATTTGGGGCTGGAACCAGCAGCTGTGTCTAGAACTGACGGAGTCAGAATGGGTCAATTTTGACTGAAAACGGGCGGATATTTGTCCGGAACCAGGAGATGTTGGGTTCAAAAGTGGGGATTTAGACCCAAAAGCAGGGAGTATTGGGCTGGCACTAGCAGATGTCTATCTAGAACCCAGAGATGTTGATCTAGAACTGGCAAATTTTGACCTAGATTTGGTGGATATTGGTTTAGAAGTGGTAGATGTTTGGTTGAAACCAGTAAAACTTGGACCCGAAAGAGCGTATTTAGACCCGAAAATGATGAATGTGGGGCTGGTATGAGCAGATGTTGACCCAGAACCACTGGATGTTGTCTTGGAAATGGCAGTTGTAGATCCAGAACCACCAGATGTTGATTTAGAACAGCCACATGTTGACCTGGAACTGTCAGGTGTTTACCCAGAACCACCACTGATTGATCCAGAACTAACACGTGTTGATCCAGAACTATCAGATGTTCACCCAGAACAAGCAGATGTTGGGTTAGAACCGCCAAACATTGATCCTGAAGCGGCAGGTATTGAGCTAGAACCACCAGATGTTGATCAGGAACCACCAGCCGTTGGTCTAGAACTAGAACGTGTTGAGGTGGAACCACCAACATGTGGACTTAAAACCGCAAGATGTTGATTTAGAACCACCAGGTGTTGACCTAGAACAAACAGGTGTTGATGTAGAACTGGCAATCGTTTGTCCCGAACTGGCAGGTATTGAGTTTGAACCCCCAGATGTTGACCTAGAACCACCCGGCATTGATCCGGAACTAGCAGGTATTGACCTAGAACCACCAGATGTTGATCAGGAACCACCACCCGTTGATCTAGAACCACAACATGTTGACCTGGAACCACCAACACGTTGATCTAGAACCACGCAGCGTTGATCCGGAACTAGCAGGTGTTGATCTAGAAGCACCACGTGTTGACCTAGAACCACCAGGCATTGATCCTGAAGTAACAAGTGTTGACCTAGAACCATCAAACGTTGATTCTAAATCAGTAGCTGTTGGTCTAGAACCACGAGATGTTGATCTAGAGCTTCCAGACGTTGGGTCCCAAGCGGTGCCACCCGCCGGGTCCCCA